AGCAACATTTAGAATAGCAAAAAGTGAAAACAGGCTAGGCAGGGTGGCACACGCCTTTAATTTCAGAGGCAGAGGCAGAGGCAGAGGCAGGCTGATTTCTGTGAATTTGAGGCCAGCTTAGTCTACATTGTGAATTCCAGGCTGGCCAAGGCTACATAATGAGACTCTTTTAAGAGGAAAAAAAAATGTTTACAAAGGGAAAACATCTCAAATGCCTTAAGCTAATGAACAAAATGGTATATTCACAAATTGAGTATTCAACTCAAAGGGATGGAGTTTTTCTTTTTCCTGTTGTCTGCACATATGAGTGTGTACCATATACTTACCTGGTGCCTGATAAAGCCAGAAGAGGGTTTGGGGTTCACTGCAAGTGGAGTTAGCTGCCTTATGAGATCTGGGAACTGAACAGTGGTCTTCTGCAAGAGCAGCCAGTGCTCTTAACCCTTGAGTCATCTCTCCAGTCCTAGGAGCAAAGCTCTGATCCAGATTACATCATGCTGGCCAAGGGAAAGTCACAAAGGTCACACGGGATAGGATTCCATTCATATGAAATGTTCAGAATGGTTATAAGGTTATTCTTTTACATGGATTTAGTTGTGTTTGTGCACACCCATGAGTCACAGCACACTTACGGGATTGAAAGGACAACTTGTGGGATTCAGTTCTTCCTTGCACCTTGTGAGTCCTGGGGATTGAACTCAGATCTTCAGACCCAGTGACAAAAGCCACATCCTGAGGAGCCTTCTCACTAGCCTAGTCTTCTGACTTTTCTGGGACTTTTATTTGCTTGTAAATCAAGTTAGAGCCAGACCAGAATTTGTGATATTTCTCTGAGGGTCCTGGGGCATAGAAGTGGCAGCCTCCCCAGTTTATGAGCAGCGGTTCTCAATCTCTTGACACTGTGCCCCTTAACACAGCTCCTCACATTGTGCTGAGCCCCAACCGTAACATGATTTTCAATGTTACTTCATAACTGTCATTTTGCTACTGTTATAAATGGTAATGTAAATATCTGTGTTTTCTGATGGTCTTGGTGGCTCCTGTGAAAGTGGCATTTGACCCCCAAAAGAGTCATGACCCTCAGGTTGAGAAGCACTGCCTAGAACCGGTTTTGGGCCTAACAACAATGACAAGTAGGCCTACAACAGAGTCCAGCTTCTCTATTTCTTCTCAGTAAAATAAGAACAATAATGTCTCCCTCCCAGGATTACTGCGGGAGTGTAAACGAGACAGCACATATAAAGTGTCAGGATAGGCCTGGCACATAGTGAATCCTCAACACATGTAAGAGTCCCACTTTGATTCCACAGGCATTTCCTGAGCAGCAAGTCTGGGCCAGGCCCGTGCTAGAGGCTGGAAGGCAAAGGAATTCCACTCTGAGTAGCTGAAGCAGTGGCCCCCAGCCAGGTGGAGAGATAGATAGCCTCATAAACTGTAGAGCCAGAAGGGGTGATGTCATGGCTAAAGAGAGACATCAGCCATGTGCAATGCAGACCCTGGGACAATGGGAGGTGTCTCAATCAAAAGGCCAGACCAAAGCTCAGTGTGGTGTGATGATGACACAAGCCTATAATCCCAACACTTGGGAAGTAGAGGCAGGAGGATCAGGAGTTCAAGATCTTCAGCTCCATAACAAGGTACATGAGACCTTGTCTCAACCTCCCTCTCCATAAAGCCAACTGAGACTTGGAGAGGCCCTCACAGGGCAAATGCAGAGCACAAAGTTAAAGGCAGTCTTCTGCCTAATTCATACTCAAATGTTCCCACAAGCCCTTCAACATAGACTTCATCGGATTCAACAGTCATCTCTGGGAAGCCTGACCTCATCCCAAAGCATAGGAAGAGGGCCAGTGGCTACGTGTGCAGAGCTGTGTGAAGTCTGGCAAAGCAGGACACCTCTTCATGCCTCCACTTCCCTGCTGTACAAATGGAGACCGTAACACTACTGGACTCCTAACCTTGTGGTGAGAAGGAACTAGCCAAGCTCCTAGCACTTGTGACCACTGCAATAAAGAGCAGTTAGACAAGGAAAAATTACTCCACTTTAGAAGTCAGGCTGTGGGATTTAGAGACCCAGGGCTTGGGTTATTAAACCCAGGGCTTGCTGTAGTCACAGTGCTCCGTTGTGGAGTTGGGATTTGAACTCAGATCTTAGATACCAAGGCTCATTGCATCCTTATCGCCCTCTGCAGAATCTTCAGCTAGGTTCTCTGGTGTTTACTATATGCAATAGCAAAGGCATGGGGCCAGGAAGACCCTGGGAAAACTCCCTCATCCTGGGTTTCTGTTTGGGGATGCAATCTATGTACAGCCCAGGACGGCCTCATGATCCTACTGCTTCAGCCTCCCAAGTTGCTGGAGTTATAGATACACACCACTGTGACCAGCCTTTAAAGACATGTTCATGATGGAGCTAAGTGGGAGCCTTGTAAATCCTTTTTGAGGGGATGCTAGGGATCAAACCCTGAGCCTGACACCACGATACTACAATACATCCCAATCCTCCATACTGGATTTGATGATCTTAGATCTTTTCATTTCTCCACATGGTATACACTGACATCTTTGTCCAGTGAATATGAATAGGGTTTGTTGTTGTTTTTTGAGAAAGGTAGCCTATGATACTCTTGAACTTCCAATCTTCCTGCCCCCACTTTCCAAATGGTAGGATTACAGATGTCCACCACACACATGGTTTATGTGGAGCTGGTTATCAAACCCAGGGCTTCATGCACACCAGCAAACATTCTACCAACTGAGCTACAGCCTCAAACCTAAACAAACCAATTAATGGAGATAATGTTTACCTTGGAACTTGTGAGAAGCACCTGAGGTATCTTAGTTTTCACTAATCTCAGTATCCACCTCCCTCTCTCCCATCCTGTTAGATCATCATTTCAGGCACCATTCCAGGGTCTAGGGAAGTGGTTCTCAACCTTCCTAATGCTTCAACCCTGTAGTACAGTTCATGTTGTGCTGACCCCAACCATAAAATTATGTTTGTTGTTACTTCATAACTGTCATTTTGCTACTGTTATGAATCATAATGTAAATATCTGATATTCGGATGGACTTAGGTGACCCCTGTGAAAGGGTCATTCCATCCCCAAAGGTCTCAGACTCACAGGTTAGAATCATTGCTGTAAGAGATCTCCCTTTTGAAGGTTTTGATATTTTCTCAGGCTAAACCTGCTTTACTGTTGAAGTTGCTTGTTTTTCCCTTCCAGGGGGTAGTGAACAAGACAGATAATGGCCATGCTGATGGAATTCACACCCACAGGATGGAAACAACAAACAAAGAGAAGTAATCTCAGGTGCTAATAGCTGCTCTGAGACAGAGTGACAAAGTGGGGTGGCATCCAAGGGGGCAAACATCTGAATGACAGTAAATCGCAGAGGAGTAGGAAGGGCTAAGCCTTCGGCTCTTCATTCCCATTCTCACTATACACCACTTTGAACAGTTAGGTAACTTCTCAGGCTCAGCTGCCATCTACAAAATGGAAATGAAGCCACAATGTGAGGAGACTCAGCCAAAGGGCTGTTAAGATCTAGGATCCTGCCCATATTTCACCCGTAATCAATAGGTATATCATTGCTGGTCCATCTTAGAGAGGCACCTGTACAGTGAGCCATGGGTCATGGTGCTTTAGTTTTTATTATAATTCATTTTTTGTTTGTTTTGGTTTTGAGACAAGGGCATACCAACTAACTTTGGCTGGTCTGGAACTGTTATTATGTAAACTAGGTTGAGCTAGAACTCATTGAGATTCTCCTGCCTCAGCCTCCCGAGAGCTGGGATTAAAGGCTCAAGCCCAAGACCCCCTGCTTATTGTAATTTCATTATGCTTTAGAAATGGTTACCTTCACCGGCTACTGGGGCTGCTGCTTCCTACCTGGTCAGGCACAATAGTGACAAGGAAAACGGTTCAGACAGCAAACACTCTTTTGGCAATTACCAGACCACCTATCTGCCAATTCTCTTGAGTTTATACACAAGTCTGGAAGGCTGTCTGTCCTAGGGAGAGATGTATGTGCTTTATCTAGGAAGTTGGAAGGATTCTGGCCTCTGGGTTGGGCCACTGATTTACAGTCAGTAACAAATCTCCCTCCTAAGACTCTTCAATTTAACATCCCCTGTCTCTAGCTCCACAACCATGGCCTGCCTCAGCCTCATTGCCTGGCCCTCACACCTGAAATCTGGCCAGCACCTGCTGGAACCTAACAAAGAAAACTCTCTTTTCCATGCTAAAACTCCAGTCCCCAGGCTCTTAACAGTCTGCCCCACACTCTAGAGCTCATCTTTTATTTACACCAAACCAGTTAGGAGTTTGGTATCTTAGTCATAATTAATTCCCTAGGGTTTGGTCAGACACATTTTTTAAATCAGGTGCCTCAGATTTTAACAAACCTCTCATTATCTAGGAATAAGAAAGTTAAATGGCTGCGGATTGCCAGAGGATGAGGGGTCTGTGTAGGGGTAAGAGGGTCATGAAGCTGCATATTTAAAAACAGCCCCACGGGGCCGGGGAGAGGGCAGTTAAGGGTACTTGTTGCTTTTGCAGAGGACCCGGTTCGGTCGCCAGGAGACCCGACACCCTATTCTACACTGAGTGTCCCCAAATCACAGGAGGCTCTGACTCTCCGAGATCTAAGCCTACAGGCCCCCCCCCGCCGATGAGTCACACCCCTTCCCTACTTCCCAAAGCCTGTCACACCCCAGGGTATGGATATATCCCTAAAGCCCAGGTCGCTTCTCACGGAGTGCCCCTTCCCGGCCGCCGTCCGGCTTCACAGACGCGAGGCTCCTTCCCCACCCTCCTCTTTATGCCCAGCGGGGCAGTCTGCGCAGGCGCACAGGGTGGTGCCAAGGCCCCGCCCCCTGAGCCTGGGTAACGGCGAGAGGAGTTTGAGCTTGGCGAGCAGCTGGACAACGAACGAGTAGGTCGGGGCTCGGCGACGGCGGC